CCTTTGCAAATAATAGAAAATACCAGTACATCTGTAAAAAACAGTCAAAACCTACTGATGTCCCAGCTTAGATTTGTAACTTAATTTGATGAAAAACCTGACAAGTTTGGTTTCATGTGCTGCCCATGTTTGCAGGACACTCTAAATATCAGCAGATTGAACGTTTGGTTGTTTTATTTGTATCATTCCTGTAAATCTGCCTGCAGTTCTGCTCCTCTTGCAAAATAAACCAGCTGAAATCCTTATTGCAATTTGAGGAATAGGATTCCCCCCTCTCCCCTGCTTGCTTTGAGCAGCAGAAAGGGACAGAGTTGAGAGACAGTCAATTCATTCACACACAAATATCATTTTAAAAGAGAGTTTTCTATCTTTGTGCTCATCCTGTGTCTGGCTCAACATAGACAGCATAGCTGAAGAAATAATGTACCAAATAGTTAACTGCAAAGCTTTTAGAAAGCTTTGCTGAATAACATAAAGGATTATGACAAAGACTAAAAAGGCAGGAAAGCAGAAGTAAAGCATGGTCTGTTCTGAAAAATAAAAAATAGTTTACAATAAACACTGTTAATGTTGAGTTAATTTTCAGCTTAGTTCTGCTAGAGTGTAGATAAATAAAAATCCGCTGGGCATTTGCACAGTTTGGTGTTTAGGGTGATCAGTAAAAAATATTAATTTCTTTCTGGTCACAGAAACCTGAATTGGAAAGACTGTTTTAGAGGTGATCAGGGGAAATGCCAGTGTAATTCTTAGTAAAATCTTGATAATTCTTAGTAATATTCTGGTGGGTTCTTAGTAATATCTTGGTAGAAACACATGACTCAGTGGAAATGAAAAATGGAAAATCATTTCCACTGACTCAAGGGACTTGGGGCAATTAACTACTCTGTGCCTGCCTTTAAAACAGGGTTATGCCATGTGTGCATTCTGGGGTGAGATGGTGGAGGCAGGAAATGCAGCTCAGTGAAGGCAGGCAGGAGCTGGAAGTCTGATTTACTGTCTGTAAAATACCTCGAGGCTTTCAGAGGCAGGGAACTTCACAAATGCAGAGTTTCACTGCTACTGTTGAGGTTTATAAGTTATAAATAAATGCTGTCTTTAGTTGGGATTGAAATCTTGATTTCACGAAATGTCTTTCTGACACTGAAGATGAGATCAAATTGTGTCTTTTAAGGGAGACATTTTATATGAAAATTCAAGTTATGACTTGACCAGAAAAATAAAACTGATGGCAATAAAGCTCCTCAAATATAGGTGTGTTGTCAGTTTGAAGACACTCTTCCAGTGTTGTTCTAGGCTGAAAACAAAAGCTCTTCTTCACAAAGCAGAAAAAAAAATAATTCCTGTGTGCCAACCATTTTGTCAGATGAGAGAGAGAAACATTTCAGCTGCTGTTTATTGAGGGGGCTGTCAGGAAATGCTGAGGAAGGAGCCCGAGTTCCCTCCCGTGCTGCCCCAGCCAGGGAGGCCGTGCTGGCCCTCAGGTGAGGGATTTTGTGTGTCACACACCTTTCCAGCAGGGAAAACAAGCTGCCCTGCTTTGTCTGGCTCTGTTCAGTCAGGAAATCCCTCCATAGGGATAAAGCAGCTCTCTCTGGATGAAAGAACTCCAGAATAACTCAGGTACTGGCATAGATCTTCAGCTGAAAACTGGGACATGGCTTTGACATAATAGTTTTAGTTAAGACTTGGAAAGAATTGAGGATACATGTATGGCTTAATTACTCAGACCTGCTGGAGCCAAGGAGAGCCTCTGTGTAGCTCTCTGTGAATCTGCCCTTAAAATTAAAGACACTTTATCTGTCACAAAGATCTGCTTGGAGCACTTCACATGTGGTTTTCCTTCCCTAAGCTAAAAAAGGGACACAAAAGTGCAGCTTTTTTTAATTTCAGATTGTTTTATTTTTTTGTTAATACCTTTTATTTTAATGTCTCAGAGCACAGGTGGTGCTGTCCTAGAGCTGCTTCCTCGCAGTGTTGCTGGCTACAAATAACCTGAAATCTTTTGAGGTTTTTCTGTCAGTGTGTGTCAGAGCAGTATCAGTGTTTTATGGCACAGGCAGAAGAGCCTCTTATACGTGACAGAATTTTGCAGAGCAGTAGCTGATCCTGTTATTTAGTCATGTCCAGAATGTGGCCCAAAGTGAGAATTGGCAGCAATGCTGAATGAATTATTTGCTTTCTGGAAAATAGCTTTTTCCGTATAATCTCTGGGAAGATTTTACAGAACAAAAAAACAACACTAACTTTGTAACTTGGTTCAAGGCTTGCTCGCAGTATAAAATTTGGTTTTGTGGTTTGACAGTTTTATGTGAATTATTTCATCAAGGTCACTTCTGTTTCTCCCTGTAAGTTCACTGCTGACACAGTAGATGGTGGGCACCTCTCCAGGAGGCTCAGAACAATCTCACAGCAGTGAGTTCAGCACACAGAGTCGCACTCAAGTGGCCTCACTTATGTTTTGGGTAGAGCATAGCAAGAATTAAAAATAGAAATTAATGATGGTGAATTTGTGTTTATTTTGAATTGGGCTTTGTTCTCATCTGACTGGATTATTAGTTTAATTTAGTGGATAAATTGTTTGGTTTTGACTAGCATTGACTGAGAAGTCTCTGAACTCAGTGTATTGATGTTTTCTGAACTCTCATGCTCCCGCTGTTGCTCCTTATTTTAGGTGTATCAGAGCAGATCAAATTTCTGCTCCCCTTTTCTGCTCACATTTATTTTTACATTGACCAACCAAAAGAACAATTCCCTCTCTTTACATGTGAGCAAAAAATCAAACTGCTTTTTAACACCTTTAGCCCTTTCTAAAGGTGCTGCAGCAGACTTTGAGGAAAGGCACAAGGAAAAATCTTCATGGAACACATCACTGTGCTCCATTTTCCCCAAAATGCCCTGGAAGCAGGAGGGGTTTTCTGGTGTCTGTCACAGTGAAAGAATTCCTTCTCCAGGGAGCATTGTTAGGGGTATGAGATGTTGCTGAATGTTAGAGCTTGTTTTGGGGGGAAGAAGAAATATTTATTCCATTTGAATTTGTTTTACCTGGCATGAGCATTGCTGTTGGAATTCATCTCTAGTACAGTACTACTGCTCCTATGTGGCTGATGTTTTTCAAGGAAATCATGGGCCTAAAAATAGTCTGCATAAACAACAGTAAGAGGTTTGTACTTTCAGTTCCAGGTTTTAGCAATATCTTGTTGTTATTTTCTAATTTTCAGTTTCCAAAATCCATTAAGCTGATTAGCTGAGTGTTTAAAAATAAAACAAAAAAAAATCCAACAAAAAAAAACCCCAAAACAAAACCAAAAACCCACCTCTTGTGGAACCCAGCATAAAATGTTCTGCTTGGATAAATTCATCCAGAAATGCAGGGTGATTGCAGTAATCACCTTTGTATCTTGATGAACATGTTCTGTTCGGAACATTTTTCAAGCATCCTCCAACTTGTGAAATTGCCACGTGATTCTGAAACTGCTCTGAGGGGAGAGGATGGGGTGGAAACACTCGTGCTACTTGGAACTCAGGGCTGTTGTACTTATTTAACATCCTCTGTGTACTGAACACTGAGTTTTATATCTTCCCTTTGGATTAAAAAAAAAAAAAAAAGAAAAAATTACTTAACAGCTTGGAAGATATGAGGAAAAAAATGCAGTTTGCAAATTGCAGAGCACAGTTTGTCACCACTTTATCCTTGTGAGTCTGTGGCCATGTCACGTTCCCTGATGGAAATTGATCTTTGCACTTTGTCTCACGTGTTTTTGTAACGTGTTAACTTAAGGTACGTTTTAATGTGTTTAAAATTCTGTAATTCAGCCTAAACAAAAATTAATTTTCACATGTCTCTGAAGCAAGATCTTCTAGAAAAGGACATTGTACTGAAGCCAAAATACAGGATTTTTCCCCCCCTTTCCCTGCTCCTCATTAGGTGTTTTAGGAGGTCAGGTGGGGCTGAAACTGGGGCTGAGTTGTGTCAGTGGTGGCTTTAGTGGGAGTTTTTTGGGTTTTTGATTTGTGAATCTGGGACAGGGCTCCCTTTTCTCCCATTGAAGCTGTGGCTGTTGTTAGTGCACATTAAAGAGGCAGGGAAAACTCACCTTTCCTTTGTGATCTCTGCTTCAGACAGAAAACAATTCATGCAGAGGAATTTCCAAGGGAGCTCAAGGCCTATTGGTTTAAAGGCTGATTAATCATTAATGTAGGGGTGAAGCACTGCTGAAGTGGAAGGGGCTGAGCAAGGGGCACCTGGTGTGGGGCACTGGGGACAAACACCATAAATCTGCATCCTGAGCTGCTGCTTTGCCACCACAACAAAGCAGAATTCACTGATTCCTTGAGATTTTTGCTCTTTGAGATTAAGTGAAAGATAATTATGAGGTTGTAGTTAATTGGTAAAAAAAAAATTTAAATACTCCAGAATATCATCTGTAGGTAGTGCCTAATGAATTTGGATGAAATATATCTCTTATTACCCATTAAGCCAGCTACTGCTGCTGCTGCAGAAAGTAACTGAAACAGCAGCTGATAGGAAAATCAGTGTCCCCTCTCACTTGTACTGAAATCGCTTTAGGGCTTCCATTTATCTAAAGAACTGCAGAGTTGATAAGTTGTTTAAAAATCCTCATTTTACTTTCCGGGGAAATACATGTGGGCAATTTGCTCGAGTCGTCGTTTCAGGTTCCCAGCAGCAGTTCCAGGGTGGGATCCCGTGAAGGAATGACCCAGATGAAACCCCGGGGTGTTTTTGGGGGGAGCCAGCGGGAGGGGCGGGATGGGGTTCCCAGATGGATTCACTGGGCTGCGCTCAGCCCTCTGCCGGCCGCTGCTGGGAATGGTGCAAAATCCCCAATTTTGGCCTTCCAGCGTGAGAGTTTTCATCGTTTGTGAGCCTGAGAGCATTAAAATGCACCAGAATTTACCTGGGAACTGTCAGTTACTAAAGCCTCAGACATTTTGACTTATTTGAGAGTGATGAGTTTCTCTTTTTTCTTTCCTCTCTGCAGTTTTCTAGACAAGATTGACATAGTCAAACAGAACGAGTACACCCCGTCTGACCAGGTACGTGGGGCTTTGGGAGGAAATTGCACCATTTATCTGCCCCTTCATCTTTGGGGTAATTAATTCATTTTCTAATCACCATTTCAGATACTGCCATGCATTGTACATATTTAGTATTCCAGTAAAAATGGCTTGGTCCTTTGGATTATGTTTATACACATAAATGATGTACAAGGTTACATCACTTACAAGATTTCCATCGTGTTTCTGTGACAATGAACACTCCAGTGCTGTTCCCTGGTGTTGTAGTACAGCATGGACAAAAAGGGGTTTATTTCCATTGCTGGATATATGGAAACTCACTAAGTATCTGTGCTGAATCAATGCATTTCCCTTTGTGCTTTAGGATCTTCTCAGATGCAGAGTTTTGACATCAGGAATTTTTGAAACCAAGTTTCAGGTGGATAAAGTAAATTTCCAGTAAGTATAATTATTTCTTTTTTTATGTTTTTGCAATTTTTAATACAACACAGACAAATACCAAGGTAAACTGGAAGGAGAGCCTACCATATATTTATATTTATTGAGCCTACTGTATTTCTCAAGTATCAGTGTTTAATAGAAAGAAAGTATTTTATGGTTTTCTAATTTAGTAGTCTGGCTTGAAAATGAAATGCTAATGGTGTGCTTCATTTTAAATCACAAAGAACAAAATGTTTTAAATCTATTTTCTCTGCATGCCTGTGTTCACGGATTGTTTACCTGTTCAGGTTCTTGTAATCCAAGATTCCCTTTAACTTCTGTAACACAGACGTTCTAAGACTTCTTACCTTTTCTGTTTGCATGCAGACACAAGCAAAAAACCCAGCACAAAATGATTCTGACTGACTGGATTTCTGTTTTTTTCTCAGTATGTTTGATGTTGGAGGGCAACGAGATGAACGCCGAAAATGGATCCAGTGTTTTAATGGTAGGATAAGAATTTCTGGTGGCTTTATAAAATAGTTCTCTGCAGAATTGTAGTGCCAAATCTTCATTTTCTCAACTGTGTGAAATCCATCATCTTTCCATTTAGCTCAATAAGGAGTTATCAAACAGTCCCACAGCACTGAGTTTTTTCTTGACATGTAAGCTCCTGTAACTACACAGAACATCTTCAAGGAGAATGCAGGTGGAGAGGAATTTGAATTTGATAACTTCAGCTTGTCCATTTTTTTGGCTTCTCTCTCTTCCGTTAATCAAGTGTTTTTGGAGGTGGCTTTGTGCATTATTTGCCAGCCTAGACTTCTTTGTTGTTTGGACAAAATAGCAATGAAGTTCACACAAAAGCCCACCTTTTTGTAGAACAGTTACAGTGAGATCCTAGAGATGCAACTTGGAATTCATGGCAAATTGCTACAGTTCCTGTCACAGAATCACCTGGACACTGTCTCTGTGTGTGGAAGGACTGGGCAGTATTTCCTTCTGTGCTGTCAGTAACAGATTTGTTTGGGTTTTACCTCTGCTCCTTCCTCTTCCTGGTGCCTCATGGGCTGACTCATCTGTGCTGAGGTGGAGGAGCCTGGCACAGGGAGGGACTGGAGCAGCTCAGGGATCCTGATCCTGGCAATGCCTGCCAGGGAGGAGATGGGGCTCCGAGCACTGAGACACATACAGGGGGACCACTGCAGTTAACCATGAATTCCCTGCAGCCTGCTGCTGTTATTGCTGCTCTTTACACAAATCAAAAGTGCTGTTTGTCCTGAGGTTTTCCCCCAAGGACCTTTTCTTTACACATTTTAAATCTTCTTTAAATTCACCTCTTGGCTTTCTTCAGTTTCTCTCTCTTGCTCCAGTTCCTTTCTTTCCTACATTTTCTGTCATTCTGTCAGCTTCTGTTCTGGGGCCTGCCTTGCCTGTCTTCCATGGTTTCTTCACTTTCTTTTTTGATTCCTTTACTTACAAAGCTGTCAGCAGCAGCATCCCAGCCTGTTCTCTGCAGGGAGCTGCAGGTCTGGCAACTTCTTACTGAACTTCATTATTCCTGGATATTTCTTCAGAAGCTTGGCATTAACTCAAGGGTGTTTCTTGCTTTAGATGTGACTGCTATCATATTTGTGGTGGCCAGCAGTAGCTACAACATGGTGATACGAGAGGACAATCAGACCAACCGGCTGCAGGAGGCACTAAACCTCTTCAAGAGTATCTGGAACAACAGGTCTGTGAAAGGCACTTCTCACTGAGGTTCCTGGTCCTCTCACCACTCGTGGAGGGGCCTGGCTGGGACAAAGTTCATTTTCTCCATGACAGCCCATAGGGTGTCATGGTTTGGGTTTTGCCCAAAACAATGCTGATAACACACTCACGCTCTGAGCAGTGTGTGCAGAGCCCTCTCTGTTCCTCACTCTGTCCCTGCAGTGAATCCTCAGGGACACAGGTGGGCAGATCCAAGCTGACCAGAAGTGTGATCCATGCCACATAACATCATTCTCTGCAGTAAGGGGGAAAAGAGGGGATTTTGGGAGGTTCCCCAGCTTGGAGGTATTGGTGTGCCCACAGGAGTGATTGCCTTTGCAACACTTCTTTTGTCCTCTCCTGGCTTTTACTTATCCCTCACTAATTGAACAGTCATGATTTATATTTTATCTTGACCCCCAGATATTTTTGCTTTCATTCTCCCTTTCCTCCCCCTGCACCCCCTGAGGAGGAAGGTGAGGGAGGAGCTGCCCACCAGGGTTAACAGCACAGGGGGCTCTGTTGTTCCCATCTCCTGGCACAGTCTGGGCTGGTTCTTTGGTCACAGCCTCCCACCCCAAATGTTCATTAATCTCAGCTCATTGCAACGAGCTCTGCACAGCCACTCATTGGTGGTTGCCATAATGAGGCTGAAGTAATTAGAGTGGTGATGGAGCAGTGCTCTGGGAGGTGGAAACCTCCCCTGGGGTGGGTTTGGATTAACAGCACAAAGTGGGGAGCACCTCAGGGTGTGCACACCTGGAATTACACCCTTGGGATTCAGGTATTAAAAAACCTTTCCAAACCATTCCAGTGTGTCATATGGCCTTGTTTTCCAGACATCTTGTGTGACTTAATTTAAGTTTCTGTATGATCTGGGCTGTGCCTCCTGACAGTGTTTGGTTTCCATTTTGCACAGGTGGCTACGGACCATTTCAGTAATCCTTTTCCTGAATAAACAAGATTTGCTAGCAGAGAAAGTTTTGGCAGGGAAATCTAAAATTGAAGACTACTTTCCAGAATTTGCTCGCTACACTACACCAGATGATGGTAAGATTTTTAAGTTTTGTTTGCAATTTTTCATTACATTTGTGATGGTTTTGGTAGCTTCAACTAGGGCTTCAAAACTCTTAAGCAGATGTAATCATCAAAGTCTTTTAGCCAAATTGTAATGTTGAATTTAAGGTACTAATAATGAGAGATTCCTGCCTCTTAAACATTTAATATATTAATAATTTCATCATGACAAAATCCTTTTACTTTGGTGTAGATCAGAGTCTGACATTTTGTCACAAATGTGTCCTCAGGACTCCTCCTGATCCTGCCTGTGGACATTTCTCTTACCTGCCAAATGCCTGGTACTGTGGCCATTGTAATATTCCCTTGTTCTCCTGAAATCCTGCTCCTTTAAATAATGTCATGGTTTGTCTTGTCTCACAGTCAGTTTTGCCAAGGGGATTTCTGTCATATTTGAGGAATAAGTTGAGATTTTTAGGTGCTGTTACCAGAAAACACCTGTTTTAATGAGATGCTTCTTTTATTATTAATCAGCAACACCAGAGCCTGGTGAGGATCCCAGAGTTACAAGGGCCAAGTATTTTATTAGAGACGAGTTTCTTGTAAGTATTTCCTTTCTTTGCCTATTTCTTCTGTGATTCTTCCCAAACCCAAGCTCTTGCTCACCTTCTGCTGTTGCAAAGTGCTGTCACTTCTTGTGTTGTTTGTATTTAACATCCACATTGCATCAACCACTGTTATATTTGTGAGCTTTACTACTGTTTCTTAGCTGTTTTTTGGATATTTGTTTGTACATAAGTAAATAGTAAAAGAATTGGTGAGAATTAAGAAACCCCAAACAGAATGACAAGTGAAGTCCTGCTGTTATTAATGGGGCCAGGTTTTTATTCCATGCATTATTTCTAAAGATAGAGACTAATCAAGAGATGCCTCCTTTGTCAGATATTAATGTTCTTTTCGTATTATCTTTCCCAATACTGGTCAGCTGAAGCTATAATGGACATAGATTTTTTTATTTTAATATTGTTACAATTACTTGTAATGGTGAGCCTGGCAATCAAATTGTGGACTCATTTTAAAATGGAGCAAAACAAAAAGTTGAGGGAGGCTTTCTGTAAGTGTAAAGCAGGGATAAAAGCTTTGTACAGGGAGGCAAAATCCTGCTTTTTCATGGCCAAATGGACTAGGAGTTGAGTTGCTAAATCCTCCAAAGCTGCATATAAATAATGGCATTTTCCTGAGTTCTCATTCCTTTCTGAAATTCCCTAGCTTGCAGTGACCACCTCACCATATAATTCTGATCATTTTGAATTTCCTGTTCCAGGTGAAAACTGTGTGTGCATTTTGCACTTTTTGAAGGCACAGCTCACACACACACACCCCTCACCTTCATTCACCGAGCTCTGGGGACGGGCTGGGGTTCCCCAGGGGGTTTTGTTGTTAACCCAGTGTCTCTCTCTTGCTCTGCACAGAGAATCAGCACAGCAAGTGGAGATGGAAGGCACTACTGCTACCCTCACTTCACGTGTGCCGTGGACACAGAGAACATCCGGAGGGTTTTCAATGACTGTCGGGACATTATTCAGCGCATGCACCTTCGCCAATACGAGTTGTTGTGATGGAGAGCACTTTTTTCTGTGTTTTGGACTCCTTGTTCCTTATTAAAAAAAAAGAAAAAAACACCCTTGCCCACATAGGGTGGAAGAGAACTGTTTGAATCTCCCATTGATTTGCACCCCTCAACTTTTTCTCCTTGCTGGACAATAGCAGCACTTCTAAGCTTGCTTCTGTACCCCTCGGACAGTTTGAGATGGCCCCTAACACTTAAAAGGCCATTTCCATGAGGATTCCCTAACACTGTTATTAACAAAAAAGAGAGAAAAAACCAAACCAAGCAAACAAACAAAAAAAAAAAAGAAATAAAAACCTAATTAATTAAAAGCCCTGAATGTGGAGCACCTGAAAGAATTGGGGATGAAAAAATTAAAACGTTGAAAGAAAAATTGGGGGAGAGAAAACTTTAAGTAATTTAGCACTGCTGTGGGCATAATCCTATAACCCGTGATCTCCACTTTGTATCACTCACTGCATCTGAGTAACGAAGGTGCCAAGTCACAGACCAAGGTTGAAGACAGACCCTTGAGTTTGGTTCTCTGACTGTAATGTGGCTTTGGGCGGAAATACTGACAATTCTCCAACAGACCTAGACAGTGCAAAAACCAACTGCTACCTTTCAGAAGGGTATTTTTAAAACCAGTCTTGGTGGTCTAAAGACAACCATGGACATTTATGAATTGAACTGCGTATGGCCTGTGATTGCAGAAAGAGTTAACCACACACTGTTTTCAGTTTGTCCACTGATGATCCCGTCTGCTCTAAAAATCATTATCTAGACTGTAGTCCTCACAGTCTTTCCCTTCTTTTTCTTCTTCCCTTCCCTCATTTTTTATTTTACTGCTGGATTATTATTCTTGTACAGACTGTAAAATGTATTATTTTGTACAACTTTATTGAAAATAACTTGTAGAAGATCTTTGTGCCTTGATTATGGCTGTACCTGTACAATGAGCTAAGATGTAAGTATGTTTGATTGCGCTGTACAGCTTTGTCAACCCTATCTGCAGCATTAGCTCAAGGTAGGGAAAATTTATCTGTAGTTTAGTTTTTCTGGTTTATAAAAGAAGGAAAAATACTGTTTAGTAAAAAAAAAAAGGAAAAAAAAGGAAAAAAAAAAAAGAAAAAAGTACAAATTGTGCAAACTTAACCACTTTAAAAGTGAGGTCTTCAACAAGTGACCAGATGTTGCAGCATCGTGCTTTTTAATTTTTAGCTTTAATTCATTTAAATCTCTATCCAAATGCAAAACATGGCTTGTTTCTACATAAAACCAAATTTTGCTACAAATTATAAATGTTAGTCTTTGGTCATTCATAGTCCTTTTTTTTTGCTAAAGACAAAAACAAACAAACCAGAACAATAACAGACACGTAGGGCATCATGCAGGTCTGGTGACCATCTCTAGACTGGGCCAAATACCCACCAACCTCGGCTTGCGCTGCGTGGGCAACGACAAGGAATGACAAGGTGTGCACTGCCCTTGGATTTGGCCACTGAATTCCAGTTTCAAATGACATTTTTATTTCTCTTTTAATAAAGAGATACTTTAGAACCTTTTTTTGTTTTATATTAACTATATAAGTAGCTTAAAAGTGAAGATGTGTGGATTTTTTCTTAAACTTGAATAATTTATGCAAATTATATGCTTAGAACAACATGTGGTACAGTAAAAAGAAAAAAGAGCAAAAATCACTGTAGCAATAAGAGAGCATGTAATTTTAGTAACTACTACACTGCTTTATATTTTATACCTAGGTGTTTTATGTCTCTGTGAGTGTGTTACTTTTTCATGTGTCTAAACCTACGTGTACAATTTGTACAGAGTCAGAAATTACAGCTGTAATAACACATCTAGAACAGTGTTAGCCTATATTACTCAAACACCCCTGTTCCCCCTTCATTTACACCCCTAAACTGATCTGGATCTTAACTGCAGTGACTTTAAAAGGAAAAGAAACAAAAACACCAAAATTCTTGCCTCTTTGCCTTTCACACTAGCTTCCCTCCACCCAAGAGACTTTCTTTGTTTGGGAAGAGATGCAGTTTAAATCCAAGTGAGGCTGGTCAGTGATGTCTGTGCAGCTAGATTTGCTTCAGGTATCGGATGCCTTTTCAATACTAAGAACTGCAACTGTTCAGAATTGTGACTTTTCATTTGCTTTTGTGGCTAAAGTCTTAAAATGAATCACACAGTCCATTTTCACTGGAGAGCAGGGATGTGAGGGAGTTACTGTCCCATCTCAATTCAGAATTACTTCCAGAAGCCACTGAATTGCTGAAAAAATGTTAGCTGCAGTTGTTACTCGCCTTTCAAGAATGATCTTTCCTGTTCACAGGTTTAGACAGTTGCCACCTGAACTTTGTAGAACTGTAGAAAACATGACTGAAAATAGGCCCCTCCAATTCAGAATGTATCCAGTGCCTGTAGGTGAAGGGCTGGCGTTTCCACTAGGTAAAAATGGGACACGCGTAGTGGAAAGGAAATTCATTGTGAGCCTTAATTTTAGTTACAGGAGCCAAAATCTTTATTTTAGTGCCAACCCTTATCTTTTTAAGCCTAGGAGGAGTTGGTGTGAACACCAAATTTATAAATGGAGAAAACCTGTAGTGGTGTGAGGAATGTAATCTCTTCTCTGAGAGAAACAAAGCACCTCCATTTAAAAAATTAATGAAATAAGCTTCTTCCTCTGACGAGGAGGACACATCATAACAATGAGCTATGTAAGACAGCAACAGTTTCAGAAACCTAAAGCTTTATATGAACAGATATGTTTAGGGGATGCTTTTTTTTTTCTTATGTGAGGAAAAAGGCAATTGTTTTGAATATGGTTGAGTTGCACAAGTACGGAGCGTGTGTGTGTCTTACTGTCTCAGTATTGCCTTTGTTAGTCTCTTTATTAGTCCATGCAGTTTGGTGGCCTGGTAAATGCAAGTCTTATTTTTAACAGCTTTCTTTCTCCTTTTTTTTTTTTTTTTTAAATACAAAACCATAAAGCTTTAATGCTTGCTATTTAATAAGTAACTGTGTTTTCTTCTGTCTCTAATTTAGTGGCCATAATTTGCAGTTAATTGAACCATTCCAACCTAATGCTTACCCATATTTCTTAGTTTTGTTTTATTTATTTATTTGAACTTCTTGTTTTCATGATTGAGGACTGTCACTTCTGTCTCATTCATCTGTTTGGAAACTTCTGACCTTACAGCCAAAACTTAACTCATTCTACTCAGTATTCATCGTGATGCTGAAGTGTAAGATACCTGCAAATGTAAACACTACCACTTTTATTAATAAAAGCAAATACAGTGTTTTTAGGGCACATTTGCATCACTGTAGTTGAGGTTGTGTCAGTATTTCCATTGTAAACCTATGGAGGGTTGGCACCAAACTGCCCTAAGCTGAATCTTTGCCATACAAGGCTTCTGCTCAAGCGTGATTTTGGTGGGTTGGTTTTTCAACAGTTTCCAACACAAACTCTTGTTTCTGTTTTAAGTTATTCAACTGTTTTGTTAGATGGGGGTTGGTTTAAAAAGAAAACAACAAAAAACAACAAACAAACCTGGTTCAAGATTGTTTTTGGCACTTCTGTAACTCAGAAATGGTTTTGATTTTAAAACAACCTTCGGCAAGCCAGTAACCTACAATATGGTCTGATCACTTTGGGTATTTTGTAAAAATAATAATAAATTGTAGAGATGTTGTGGTTTCAAAATCAGCTACTGTGCATTTGCAGTAACTTATTTCAACCCAAGAACTTTTAGTAATTTGTGCATCAGAGCACACATTCAGTGTGGTGCAGCAGAGTAGAGATAACTCCTAAGGATTTTTTTCTTTTATAATAATGTGGAGAGATAAATCCACTACAGACTAGAAAAGGATTCAGCTGCCTCTGAAAGCATCAAAAACTGCTCTCAGAGGCTGAAACTGAAGCTCTGCAAGTTGGTAGGAGCAGACTTTGGTGCAAAAGCCTAGGAAGGCATCCTGGATCAGCTGTCATAGGCAGGAGTCCTGAGGGCTTTTCTTCATTTATCTAAAAACTGTTTTGGTTCGTGGCATCAGGGCAGGATTTAAGTGAGGGCATGGCCTAGCTCCAGAGGAAGGGAGGCTAACACTGCTCCACTGTGCTGCACAGAATTGATACCTGCAGGCTAATTTCCTCCTGCCAGAAAAATCTATGCACAGATCTGTTCATGTTCACGGCTTGAGAACTTGAGCACCTTGTAATTCCTCGTGGTGTGTTGTTGCTGTAAGTGATGGAGGATGTTTTGTATTATTTATCTTATTTTGCAGTGTCAAAAGTTATGTGCCAGTAAAAACAAAAGACAGAAACACAGGAGATTGACCCCAGAGCTGGAGGCAGAGCCCGTGACAGCTGAGTACCAGTCCAGTGCCTTAGTGACAATGCTCTTGATGATTGGTGCTATACAAATGTCTTAAGAGTGATAAAGTTGTTCTAAGTTATAAAATTCTGTGACTCATTGTGGAAGAGAGTAAATTCTCTTCTTTCCCCAGCTGTACCTAATGTGCTGTGTGTATTCCTAACAATGCTGGCACTCCCAAGACCTCTTCCATGGAAGTAGATGTTAAAATTCCTACTAAATTTAATAAGCACGTTCAGGGCCATAGATTATTATCAGTGGAAAATCTCACACAGGAGCAGGCCCTCATCTCTAAAATTCATGTTGAGTTGGTATAACAGTAAAAATATTTATGAGCAAGCATCTGTTTGCAGTCCAAAACTAAACTGTGCCCTTCTTCCTCAGCTTGCTATCTCTGAAAATTCATCTGTTGGGAAATAATCCTCCTGTTCTATAACAAGCTTTGAAGCATCTTTGTAAATAAAATAAGCTACAAAAGGGATTTCTGAAGCTGTGCTGGTGAAAGCCTGACACTGAACAATCCCTCTGGTGACTGACAAGACAAATTCCAAGAGTGAGCCTGTTTTAATCCTGGTCATGCTCAGCTGGCTTCAGTGCTGTGAGTGGATGCAGGTCAGGGTAGGTAAAACTGCTTCAGAATTTTACTGTGGTGCACAGACTCCTAAAATTTGAGCCATAAGTACTGGTTTGTCATTAATTGTTTTGATCCCTGATTCTCATTAAGAGCTCAAACTTCTTTTTATCCTGGTTATTTTCAGTGTACTGAGCTGAGCAAAATGGGTGCAGTATAAAGCACAAATCTGACCTGGAAAAGCAACACGGGAGGAGGTGGGAAGGCAAATAAAATCTCTCACTGCTTTAAATGTAAAAATAATAAGGTGGAGGTTTTTGTCTGACATCTGTGTCCTATAAATTTAGCCTGGTCCTGTGGAAAACAGGAATTTCACCAGGGTAACAACAGCATTGATACCTCTGTACCATGGATAACTGACCAAATATGTAATAGATAATTAAAAATCCACCAAAAAACAAACTTACAGATTTTCCTAATTTTTTTTTTCCCGTAGGAAGTCTGACTCAAAATTATTGAATGACAGAACAAAATAAAACCTTTGAACATTGTCCCAGATAGCGAGAAGGATAAATTTTTGAGGGCGAAGGGATTTTTGTGTAACATGCTTTCTAATGCTGGGATACCAGCAGACAAATGTGAGCTAATTCAAAATTAAAATGTGAATTTATCTCTTCACTTTAATTTACCCAGTCATTTCATTGAATGAGTTGGCTAATTAATTTTTTAATTTATATTACACAAGTTGGGAGAAACAGAAGCCTAGGACAGAGGCAGTAATGTTGGAAATTCTCTCAGTTCTGTTGTTCTGTCATGCAAACTATTGTTTTAGGCTGTGAATTTATGTGGATTATTAACAGTGGAGTACAATGTTTCTATCTGTAGTTTTCTGGTATTTGATGTGACTTTGGAACTGTATCATTCTTGCAACTGAAATGCCAGAGTGCCCAGAGGAAGGAGCAGCTGTGTCAGGGTTAGGAATTGCCACACCAGAGGGGCACATTCCAGTTCTTTTTTTGCTACATTTTCAGTTTGCTGCTGGCAGGATCAGAAGAGCTTCCACGAAAAGACAAATTATGGGTTGGGTGATAGAACTAAATCCTGTGGAAGAACTCAGAATATTAATGAGAAATGTTTCAGACTGGTGCTGAGGTGGAGCCTGGAGATGTGTCCTGAGGGCTGGTGAATATCTCAGTAGTTTTAATCTCTGTTCTCTTACTGATTGAAGGCACAGCATCCAAAATGAAGTAACAAATTGTGACAGTTTTGGTGCTAACCCTGAGTTCTGTTTCTCACAGGGCAGAGCTCTGCTGGGTTACAGATTTTGTCTGGAAGCCCAGAGCAGCCACCAGCAGCAGCTTTTGGGAACCTGTTTGTGATTTAAAACCGGGAAACTTAACAGCCAGTTGTTGTGTGCTGCAGCACGGCCCAAACCCTGCTGCCCCTGGGTTCGGCTGCTTTCTCCTGTCCTCACCCCCTCACTCCTGGAATGGTGTGGTTGATAAGAGAATAGAGCAGAAAGAAAGGTGTGAGACAACTTCAGAGTTCAAAATCCATCACCTTGGACCCTGAAAAAGAGATTTAGGGGGGAAAAATCTTCATTCCCCAGGTGAGTGACCCAGTCTGGCATCCTCATACAAATTTTCAAGGTCAGAGAATGAATCTATCCCACAAGGCTAAGGGTTATCCAGTTAAGGGACTAAAAAAAAGAAAAAGGCACAACAATTAGAGCTGGGAGATAATTTAGTGGAAGATGAGTTTAATGATCAGCATGAAAATCAACTGGAACTTGCTTTAAAGCAAGAAAATGTTTCCACCACAGGCTCATCTTGAGAAGCACTTGGGGCATTGGGAGGCTCAGTGTTTAAAGCAATCTCAGCATATAAAATACAGTTCCAACTTTTAAGTTGACATTTGAGGGACACTGGAATGACACCACATCAGCAACCTCCAAACCACCTTGTTTTGTCTCAGAATATTCTTGGTTACCTGGTGAAGTGTTGTGTGTTCAATGTCTGGAATTACTGTTACCAGTACTCGAGGTACAAACAGAAATGCTTCGTCTTGAGGCTCTGCTTGAGAAGGAAGAACTCTTTAGCCAAAACTCATTAGCCTAATGATGCTGCTGTAATTTCCTACTCCATTGGAAAGTTATTACCTTAACTCTAGTTGAATGTATTGGCTGCTTTGTAAAGGGCTAACGATTACAAAAATACAAATTTATGCTAAAAGGATTTGTAGAGGGCGAGGAGCAGAGGGAATGACAGAGAATGCCAGGGTGGATATTTTTAAAAAAACATATGAATAAAAGGCAAACAGTTTTGTTGGAAGTTGGCTCTTCTGTTTGGGATTTTTCTTCTATATTTTAGGAAGGAAACAAATGAAGTTGGAGGATTTCATTCAGCCCTTTAGGCACCAAATCCTGAAGTACAGCTGTTTAATAATTTGGTGAAAAATCAAGCAAGTTTTGATAGTTGGAATTGAAACTTGTCATTATCCCCATTTGATACTTTATTTTTCTGTTAAATAATAACAAAAAGGTACAAAAAGAAAAAATAATGCAATTTTCCATTTTCCTGTACATCTGGCTCTTATTCACACACTTTCACTTTCCAGAATGTTTTACTGCTTCCTCAAATCATCCAGCAGAGACACCAAGGCCGACCTTCACTCGATATTTATTGCATCCAAATTTTCTGTCTCAAAATTTATCTCAAAATTTCCTCTCTGCCTCATCGAAATCTCATTAGATAGAAATTGTCACCCAAGAATATTTTACACATAAAATGTAGTCAAATATGCATTTAGGGGAAAATTTGTTGCATTTGTTGCTGCATAATAAAACCTTTCAGGGACATTCAGGTAAATCTAAGTGCTTTTAGTCACAAACATTTCACTGATACTTTGCAAAACAAAAATCCATAAGGGGGAATGCAGTTAAACCCAAGAGATGACCGACATTGTTTCCATTCAAAATTGTAGAGGTTTAGTTAGCAAAATCCATTTCTGGTACATTTAATATTTCATTACATTTTAAGTGATATCTTGAAACTGTTTGGTTTTATCTGATTTTACCTTGTGTTTATTGCCCTGAAGTGAGGCAAGCTTGGATACTGCAATTCTGCAAAGGGCTATTCAGCACATGTCTGGCTGTTACAGATCTCTAGTTTCCTTCTCAAGGGAAGCTGAAAGTAAATGCTTTGAGTATTGTTCATTCTTTATATATTAAAAAAAAATCTTTAATCTTTTTCTGTTACTGCAATCAAAATAAAGAGATATAAATATATAAAGATGAAAACTTCTAGTTTTAAGATTCAGGCACTGAAACTGTATCATAAATGTCTAATATCACTATGTCTCTTAATGGCAGTTGGTGCTGGGGACTGTTCCCATTTTCTACTCTATTAATCAGGAAGTTTTGTAGCATAATTACCACTGAAGTCCCACAAGTCCAACTGTTGTCACCAGACAAAACTTTTACCTGCTCTGAAAATGCTTTACTGAGGCTAAGAGTGTTCCAGGCCATAAATTCTGAAATTCTCTGGGCTGCAGATCCCACTGTCCTGCCCAGGAGATGCACAGCAAATTTTGGTTGTAGGAAGGAGGATTCTCCTACCTACATAAAAATTCTTATACAAAGTGTATTTAGTTGAACTTTCTGTAAAGAACCAGGATCTCCTCCAAAGCTTCATGAAGTCTCAGACTTGTGGTTTTCCCATTCAGTTTCATTGGAATGTTTAGTTCTGGGCTCACTTTTCCTCCAAT